TTTAAATTTTCTGTCGACACTGAGATTTGAACTCTGGACCTGCCACTTGGGGGTTGACAACCTGACCACTTCACTAGATCGCCACACTCATCTATTACATTCTTTAAACAGTCACTTTTCAGATATATTCCAATCAACCTTAACCATATCTTTCTTATAGTAAAACTGAGAAACATGCCTCTAGGTGAATCTAAACATATCAGTAACCAAATTATAGAAGCCTTTCAGAATGTAGGGCAAATTGCATCAGTCAAACCTCTCCTTTTCAAAGGGACCAATATCTGTTCAGATCAATGGCTAATCATATTTGAAACTACAGAAGATTCAGATGTAGCTAAAAGAATCCCAAGAAATACATATATCAATGATTACAAAGTTACTACCAAATAGAAAGAAGCTCCCAAGGACTGCTACTACTGTGACAAAGAAGGTCATATTAAAAGGAATTATGAGAAACTCAAAATCTCAATTGAAACAAGACATCTTCTTAAAGAGGCCAAAGAACAAAGAGAAAAAGTCAAAAAAACAAAAACTTACAGCACCAGAACTGGAATTTCATTCAGACAACCCATATATTGACAATTCAGCAGAATGAGCACAAATAGAAAGACCTATAGAGGAATTAAATTTTCTATAATACTGGATCTTTAATGAACATATGGCCTTAGACAACTTGTCTCAAGACTTTAACAAAACTGCAACTCTCTTAACTGACATGCATATTGAATCTTTAACCAAGGACCAAACCTTTAACTCAACCAAAAGTAATGCAAGTATTAACTCAACCTCTAATCCAATTGCTATGAATACATCTTTAGAGCCAGATGAAGCAGAATTTACACTAGTTACCTCCAAAAATAAAAAAAATAAGGGCAAAAAGAAGGATCAGAACAGAACAGCTAGTCCAAGCAAAAGCAAGGAGTTAGCCATGGCCATGCAGTATTAGCTTCTAGTTTTCCTTTAAACCTTTTCCAGGCTGTAAGATATGGTTTCCATCTGTCAGGCCAGCCACTGGTTTTGCATAAGGTTTGTGAGAAAGCCTTTAGTGCTGTAGTGTTTTTCTTGATATTTAGTTCATTGTCGATTGTACTTCTTTCTGCAGTGGCCCAGAATGAATTGCTAATTAGCAGTTTTATCTATACTGTAAGCAGTCAGGAATTTAGCATATCCTTTAGTATTGGGGCTATAAGACCTCCTTAATCATAATACTATTAGAGAGTTAATTTCACTTAGTTGGCCTCTTGAAGAAGGGAGAAGGTAAGCCAGGTACCAGATTTTGGATATAAGTAGAGTTTTAGCTGTTAGGATTTTCTCTTTAAAAGAGAGGTTCCTTTATAATAGTTCTTGTATTTTATTTTTAATTTTTTTTGTAATGTCTTTTCAAAGAGATTTGTTTGAACTTCCTTTTAAGTCGATGCTATATCCTAATATTGTAACTAAGTCTTGATCTTTATTCATTATCTTAAACTCTGTTTGCCCTTGAAGTTCAACTCTTCTTGCATTTGTTGTAAGTAGGATTAGAATTGATTTGAACTTATTAATCCTTGCATTAAAGGCTTTTTCGTATATTTG